AGACTCTCTGTTGGTTCGCCTCTGACAAATGACCTAAGGACCCTCTGATAGCTTATTCCAACAGAAGTGCTCAAGACCCTCTCTGGTAGACTCTCTGCTGAAGACACCAGAAAGCCTAACACTTAGAGAATTTTCATGAAACTCTTCAACCGGTGAAACCAACGGAAGATTCCCTCAGCGGCTAGAAGACTTCAACGGAAAAGCTACAGTACGCGCATTAAATGCACATTTAATGCACTCCGTACCCTGAAGAGTAAAAGCTGATGATTGCCCGGCATTACAGGATATTTCAGGATAACTCTATCCCAAAATAGGTGACTTCTTTGTTTAATCAGTTTATGAATCTTTATTATTGGTGCAGGAAAATAATGATTGGAGCGGGATTTGGAATATTCAAGTGGCAAAAAGGGTGAGATGCTTTTTGTGGTTCTATGGCTGGTGATGAAAAATAAATTGCTTATAAATGTGGAAAAGGAGAGGAGTCATATGGGCGGATGATGCATGTTGTCCAATATGCCATAATGCGGAAGAAACAACACTGCATATTCTTAGAGACTGCTCTTTCGTGAAATCAGTTTGGTGGGAAATTGGCCTACATATAAATAGAATGGGTGAGAACAATTTAAACAGTTTGGATTGGATTTATAGCCAATGCCATAGCTCTAGAGGTGTTCCGAGTAGAATTCAGCAAGTTTCTAGATTTGCTTACACGATTTGGTTGATTTGGAAGACACATTTTGTGATGATATTTGAGGGTATTCAACCTGATGTGCTCTGCCTTGTGAAGACTACCAAACTCTTAGTTGAAGAGTATACAAACAAATGTTTTCTCTTGGAGTTAAATTCAACAACGAAGAGTAGCTCAACCTATGAGATGGATTCCACCAGAAATAGGTTTTTTGAACTCAACTGCGATGGGTCTTACCGGGGTAGGGATAAAGTGGGTGGAGCTGGTGGTTTAATATGAAACCATAAAGGGGAAGAGGTGAGTGGTTTTGTGCTTAATATTGGAAAACTGACATCCTTGACTTTAGCAGCATAGCTATGGGGCCTTGACAGAGGCTTTTGTTAACTCGGGCCGCCCTAAATGTGAAATAAGTAATCGATGAAATATATTCGTAAATTATTATTTAGACTCTTGAAGAATAAACATGGGCAAAGTGTTAATAGTAAGAGAGTTCTTGTGTGAGATTATCAGAAGCTCTTGGTTGATGAGAGATTTACTAAATTATAACATACTTTTCGAGAAGGGAATAAATGGACATACATGTTGGCGTATGCAGCACATGAAGCGTCAGAAGGTTCGTCGGTTTTTCAAGAGGCTCCTATTTGGATGTCAAACTCTCTTTGGGAGGATGTTGTTGGAAAAATGTGTTAAAATTGCATTAAATGGTCAATTTGGGACAATATTTTGAGTGTGGTACACTTCCGATTTGGGTCGGGTCAAAGTGGTTTCAGATTGTCCTTATTAAGAGCTATAATTCGATACATGGTACACTCAAAACGGATGAAGCAAAGATAAATTAGAATGACAATGAACATTTACAAAAAAGATACTAAGTAAAAAATGCTACTTACACAGACGATGTTGTCCATTCCGCTATCGTACAGCTTGACGTTTCCCAGCCAACAGATGTAAGATCGATCCTCTTCTGGGATGGCCTATGAGACAACCTCATGGTCAATTACAAACTCGTTAAACACCCCCTCGGTGGGTAGTGGACTACGACGTCATAGAGCCCCTTGACCACCTCTCGGCCAGGTCCCTTCTTGCTTAGGGGGGGGGGGCTTGGATTTTGAGGGGAGGAGGTTGGGTTGAAGGAACCGAGGAAGGACCCTCAGTCAGGTCCTCTACCACCACGACATCAATGGCAGGCAGGGCCTCCCTCGTCCACAGCTCGGACAGCAGCACCACCGACACCGGCACCGGAAGAAGTCTTCTTCAGTTTTTTCACAGTCATTGACGGCTCCAGGCCACCTTCAGTCAATGTCCTCTGCCCCTCTTCGACAGGCCTCTTCTTTTTGGGCACTCGAGGCTTTTTAGTAGGATCAAACATAGACCCACCCCCATCGACCAAAGTTTTCTTGCCGGCCTCGGCGACCTTCATCTCTTCGGCCACCTTTTTGGTGGCTTGTGCCATAAATGACATCTGGTTCATTCTAAAGCCTGCAAAAAACAAAGGAGTCAAATTAGCACAAGATAAGAAATAACCAAGTACACAACAGTAAGATGAAAGACACCAAGAGTCATTACCACCGGCCTAAGACGACACTCCTAGATGAGGTCCATTGGCCTCCTCGAAAGAAGTGGTCATCTTCAGCCAGAAGCCATCATCCACATCCTGGGGATATAATATCCGACGAAGCCGAGGGCGGCCATCTTATACTGTATAATGTAGGTTTTTACACTCATCGGCCCGTCCTCGAGGAACTTCACTACCTGAGCATGAATGGATACATTTTTCGACACATTTCTTGTGGCTTCCTCGGTCTATCTGGTAGAGATTCATGAACAATGCCGTTGTCGGCCTAAAATTGAACTCCAAGCACCAGATCAGAAACCCGACAATCAGATAGTAGCTATTGGGGGTCATCAGAGCCGGAGGAAGACCCACCATGTTAAGGTACTCCGTTATAAAAGGATGAAGGGAAACCGGAGCCCTTTAGCAAAACTCATGGGGTACACCCCCAAACTACCCCACCGAGTGATTGAGCACGTGATCCGTCGGCTTAGGCACCCTAACTCTGCCATACGGACCTACGTACAACTGAGCGATATGGTATTCACCTGAGGAGCTCTCTGGTCATATAATCTACCGATTGCTGAGGTCTAGTAGAGAGAGCCCTCGACCCAGATCTTTCCTCATACGACGTCGTCTCCTCTTCGGCTGAGCATCAACCTCAGGAACGTTACCCTTGACGGCAGAAAGGGGATGAGGACAAGGAATGGTGGCCAACGCGGAAGCCCCGTCTTCTCTAAGACGTGAACCTGAATCACCCTCGTCCTCGCTGGATGATTTTGAGGCAACATTCTCGCCACGACGCCCCTCGTCGTCTTCGGTTCTGTAGGAACTCGTTTCCTCCATCTCCTCAATGAAGTCCTCTACAGTTTTGCGCTTGACACGAGGAGAAGCGTCTTCCTCGTCATAAGGATAGTACTCTTCATCCAAAGAGTTAGTTGGGTCAACAGAAGAGGGAACGCTTCGGCCAGCAGCATAAGCCATAACAACTAAGTATCTCCTATAGGTAGTACACATGGATCAAAGTAAGTTCCCTACGAACACTAGATCTAACCTCCCCAAATGCAAAGTATAGAAGAAAGAGCAAGAACTGAGCAAGAACTAACCTCAGAAATCGAAGAACACTTTGAAGGTTGGAAAGAAGCTTTCTCTCTCTAGAAGTCTCAACAACATTTCGTAACTCAACAAGACGTAAATTAGGGAACCGCTTCAGATTAGGGAGGCATTTATAGATAGCCCCAATGGTCACTACACGTGGCACGCTCCCAATGGCCACACCAACGGTCGCCTCCACTAGAACCAATCAGCTGCCACCCTTTCAAATTCTTAGCAAGACTCACATCCTCCGGCCACATTAGCCACAAAACAAAGGGTCACAGAATGACTTAACAAGCCACAAACAAAGGGTCACTCAGCGGCTTCACGAGCCACATACATCATCAATAACTCTACGGCTACAAGTGGCACTTCAGCGGCTAGAAACTGCAATAAGGTACGATCCAACAGCCATTAGCTCCTCGTACAGAACCCGTTGATGATAACCTCTGGCCTGCGACCTTCGTCCAAGGGTTCTCCCATAGGGTTACCTTGGTCAGGGATCGCCAAGAGGTTGGATTCATGAGGAATGCGAGGGTTCTGCTTCATATATGAGAAAACATTCCAAAAAAAGAAACAACTTCAAAAGACAGAGGAACTCAAATCTGTGGCAAATGGCATCGCAACGTCCACAACACATGCGTCTTCGAAAACCACATCATTGACACCACAACGTCCACAATCATGTGGTTCATATTCGGATACAACTAGTAAACAGAAACAGGAGAGTAAAAGAACAAGGACACACATCATCCTGAGAACATGGACACTCAACGTCCACAAGAACAAAACAAGGGATATACAACGACTTCAAAAGCAGCAAACGCTCATCGGCCACTAAATGAATGCCGATGACTTCAACAAAAAGAACCATCTGGCCATACAACGGCGAAACGCAAGGAAAAGCAAGAACACACAATATCAAACACAGACGGCTCCACATCAGCCAGAAGTATTAAGACAATTTTGATCTACTCCCTTTCACTTTGTCTGCATCTTAGCTCAGAGAGTGAGGTACTCCTGATAGAGTATACGGGTCCAGATCCCATGACGCACATACTTAGAAGACTAAAACAAAACACAGCTGACACCCACATGGTCCTCCATCGGCCAGGCCCTCCGTCGGCCAACGAGACCAAAGCAGAGATGAATCTTATACTTAGTCAAATTATTGATTGTATCCAACACAATAGAGGCCTTATGTTGTAATGGGTCTCCCAAGGCCAAGACTTGGGAGGCCCAACCCATATTTTCCCTGTAAATACCTCATTTGGGAGTAATATTAATTGCACACTCTTTCTAGCTCCCACTTCTATTTAAACCTATAATCTATCAATACTAATCAAAATCATGATCCAAATGTTGAAATTTGTCTAAGTATTTTGGGACGGAGGTAGTAGTAAAAAGTCAAATATAGACTAATAAGCCATTTTCCATCATTATACGGTAGTACCAAAGCTACACTTGGAGTCTGTTTGGTGACAATGTTTTTCGGTTTATCAGGCTTATCAGACAACTTTTTTATCAGACACGTAACTTTTTATTTTGCGTGCTGAATTGTGTATTAATAAGAAAAAATAAGATTGAATTGCTTTTATGGCTAAATTGGGTGAAATTATTCATTTTAAATATTTGTTCATATATATTTCTTGCTAAAAGAGAGTCGTTTTTTTTTGTCACTCATCTCGTGACCCTTCGCCCAGCACGGTCACCGTCAACCATAGCCACCGTGCTCTCCTCGCCAGAACCACAGATCTGCGCATGAAGTGTAGAAGAAGACACACCTTCCTCCTTCCACCGACGTCAACGTTCAGCCGTAGACGCAATCGAGGCTGAAATTCGAGGTAGTTCTCTCTGACATTTTGATTTTCCCCTTCCTCCATTCTCCATCTCACGCCGTCGATGCTCCCGCCGGCGTCTGACATGTCAATACTCCGTTTTCCTGTTTCGGCAGGTGTCATGTTAATAGAATTGACCAAAATGAGGTTTAGATGTAAGTAATTTCATCTTGCACCGCGTTTTTCAAACATTTTTAAGCGCTTGGTAAGTGAAAACTTTAAATAATGTTTTTTTCTTAAAGTATAGCCAGATAGAGTCGCTATTTCTAATATTCTTTTCACCAATCTCACCCAAGATTTCTGATTTTGCGATTCCGCTTTTTTATTGCGCATTTTGAAGCGAATCAGGACTAGTAGTTCGAGCTAGCTGACTGTCTTACATCAATATTTATGCTCCTCGGAAAGTCTGAGGATGAAACTATATGTAGAATAGCTACTCGTACAAATCCTGCAATGGATGGTGAGACATTCCTTGGCTACTCTGTGGTTGTGTCTTTGATCTTTGGAGTATAGCGTTCTGTCTCTCCTTGCTGCTGATCCTTTCACGTGCAGAATCAAACCAGGAGCTTATGATAGCTCAGAGTGGGATTAGTCTTTTAGCAATGGCAGCAGTTGAAGAAGAGGATCCTCAGATTCCAAGTGTGGTAGATGGTGCATTTGCAAATCTATGTGGCAATGGTACGGTTTTTAACATTTTATGGCTCTTGATGGAAGCTTCATGATTTTCACAACATTGGGTCTAAGGATGTTTTTATTGGACTGAAATTTTCTGGTCTGATCTGGTATGGTCTGAGCTGGGACTGAAAACAATCCAAGTAAAAACATACTAAGATGAATATTTGGTTTAGTGTTTAGTCATAATGGTTTATAGTATTATTTAGTCTATTGAAATAGGATTTCCTGTTTTGATTTGAGTGTATAGGGCATTTTACTAGTTAAGAAGTTTTTGTTTACCTTATTTTTTAAAAATAGAGTGATTTCATTTAATAGATTTTGTAATTGTTTATAGAGTTTCATGCACTTAATGGTTAAAGTAAGTGTTGTCATGTTGGACTACACAATTTATAATCACGTGTTGTTTAATGACTTAAAAAGTTCATAAGTTTTATTTATGTTAATAGATATTGATGGTTAATACCCGTTGTCATGCCTGTTAACGTGCATTTGGTTTCTTGTGTAAGTAGATACATCTAGTGGTATAATTAATAGTTATGAAATAAAAGAATCTGACTCCTAAAATTGCCACTAACTACATTTGTAATTATTTCAAGGCCATACAACTTACTATTCTAATTATTAATTTACGAGGATAACCTTTAAATAGGTAACAAGATTCTACATATTATGTTTTTTAAATGATAAATATATGCTTGCCTACGAACTCCCTCCATCCCAAACCATAAGTTTACGAGACTTGACTGAAGTTAATTTGAGTCCTCACATAGTAATATCCAATATAGGTATCAATAACAAAATTTGCATTACTAGAAACTACATTTAAAGTTCATTATACTGCATTCGACACTGATTTTCAAAATGATAAGAATTTAATATAAAAATATGAGAACGAAATAGAGACTTGAGTTGACCACACAATATTTTAAAGGACATAAAAACAGGACAAGGTTTCCCCTTTATTCTTCTTCCCCACCATCCTCTTTATTGTTTGGCATCCCTGGATGTCTTGAACCATTATTTCTTCAATTCTTTGGCTTTCTGCTCTTTACACACATTCGCCTTGGTGATGTAATTACTTATCACTCAGAATCAGCACTGAATCAACATAGCCAATAGCTCACGATAGTGGATAGTTGTCATGGTGTCATCTAGGCAACGCTTAGGCGTCCAGGTGGTGAATACTTGCATGGCTAGTCGCCTCGCTAATCATTGAATAGTGTCACTTGGGCATTCATAGGGATGCCGAGGATTGATTTTTCTCCAAATCTATTTTTACGCGACAACCCAATCTGCTATGTTTGAAATTTATTTCCCCCTCCCTTTCTCCCCCCTTCCGCCCTCCTCCCTCCTTATGCTTTTTCCCTTTTCATTAGATATCAAACACATGAATCACATCATTACTTTTTTGTTGAAGTTTTGTAGTTTAATTTCTTGCACACAGCTACTTGTCGCCTAGTTGTCTACTAGGCAACATGGCAGTTACCGTCATCTAGGCGGCAGGGCAATTTACTGGTGGTGCACCTTTCATATCTGCCGTTCAATGCAGCCCCTCCCTCCTTATGTTTTTTCCATTTAATTAGATATCAATCACATGAATCACACCATTACTTCTTTGTTAAAGTTTTGTAGTTCAATTTCTTGCACCCAGCTACTTGTCGCCTAGTTGTCATACAGGAGATCTCCTAGCTGTCTTCGTCTACTCGTCTAGGACATCTTCTAGTCTTCGGCCACACGATGCAGCCCCTCGTTGCTACATGGTTCTCCATAGCAGGGAAAGATTGCAGTCTTAGTATTAACTAGTAGTGGTCTAAATTGTAGCCACAATGGGTGAGACAGAGCGACTGAGCGACAACTCTGACTTCGGTTCAACTGAATTAGAAGGAGTTTTGGAGTAATTTTGGATTTCAGTCTATTGGGGAGGGAGTAATTTCATTTTTGTTAAACCCTTCTTTTCCTTTCCAAACCTTTCTATTTTTAAATTCCATGTCTTTGACAAACCCACCTCCCAGTCACTAACATCTTCATCAAATTGACGACAATCAACCTCCCAAGTGTTCGACCATGGTAGTTAAACTTGATATCCTATGTAGGATCGAAAGATGAATTAACGATCGTAAGTTGTAGGATCGTAACTCGATTCATAAGATCCTACAATACATACATATATGTATATATAATTACAATTATTAATTAAATATAACTGATGAACAGTAACCATACTACCATAGTAAGGTGTTCAAAACATAATACCAAATATTTCAGGTACTTAAGACTTCAAACACATAGAATTCTAACTTCTAACGACATGACCAAACATCTAAAGCATTATCATCCATGTTAAAATCATTATCTTCTAAAGAGTTTTCATCTCCTTCTCCCCTCCATCATCTAAATCACACACGTCCAATTGAGGATGGTCAATCTTTATTTGCAATTGGGGTATCCACAACCAAGTTGTCTGCATGTACCATTTCTTCATCATCTCCAATGTTATCATTCATAATCCATTCATCTCTGATGATAGATTATCAAGTATGTGCTGAGTTGATTTCCCAACCTTCTTGAGTTTCCCACTTTTGAATTAGCCATAACAAATACAAAATTATTCATTGTTTTCTGCTTGAAACAATTTCTTCCTTTTGTGTGGATCTAATTAAATACATATTACAGAAATAAATGAATATTTATCAATTATCGTATACGTATTTATTTTAAAAATTATTTTAGCATATACCATCTCATAAACATTCCAATTACGCTCACATCTAGAAGTAGAACATGTCAAACTTACTACTTCAATGAAAAACTTTTGAAGCTCGCGATACACATTTTCCTATAACTCCCAATCATGTGTCTTTCTAGCCAAAGGAATACTGAATGGATTTGTCCGTTTCTTAAAATCATCCATCAAATTTAGCTTGTTCATCAACATCATTTCATCAGCCACCATACACGTGATGCAATCATACGAACGTCTTTTAACTTCAGTGTCGACTTTATAATTGAGACTATAATGCAACAGAGGGTTAAAAAGGTAGTCAACAATATGTAAAGGCATATGTAGTTGTCTATCCCATCTCTCATCAGTAATATCTCACAAAGATAACTAACTAAAGAATAATGATAACTAAATTAGGTAGCGTACTGTAGTACAAAAAAATTAGGTAAATATAGTATTTTAGGTACGTTTATTAAACTCCATTGAAAGCGCTCTGTATGTTTTCTTTCAATTGATCCATTGAAATTGATGGAATTCATATATGAGGCAATGGGTCGAACGAATTAAAAAATACAAAGCGCTTTCAACGGTGTAAAAAAAGGTACCTAAAAAGCTAAAATACTATATTTACGTAACATTTTGTATTAAAGCAAGCTAACTAGTTTAGTTGTAACCATTCTTTAGTTAGTTGCCTTTGTGGAACATTATCGATGAGAGATGGGATAGGCAACTGCATAAGCCTTTAGAATAGACTTGGCTACTTTCTTAATCCTCAGTTGCATTATAATCCCAATTCTAAAGCTGACATTAAAGTTAAAAGAGGTTTGTACGATTGCATCACGCGTATGGTGTCTGATGTTGATGAATAAGTAAGATTGATGTCTAGCATGATTATTTTAAGAAACGGACAAATATATATGGTACTCCCTTGGTTAGAAAGACACTTGATAAGAAGAGTCCAATAGATTGGTGGGTGTCATATGGTATTGAGTATCTTGAGCTTCAAAAGTTTGTCATTCAACTATTCAAGTACTAAGCTTGGCATGTTCTTCTTCTGGATGTGAGTGTAATTGGAGTGTTTTTGAGATGATATATGTTATAATAATTTTAAAATAAATACTTATATTATAATTAATAAATATTCATGTATTTTTATAATATGTATTTAATTAAGTCCACATAAAGAGAAGAAATCGTGATAGAACTAACGCAGGTATGTAATAGTAAAACAAGATGAAATTTAGCTCAAGAAACAATCTCCAACTTCATTAATGGTGAAAACCAATACAACGAAGCCCCAAAGAAAGAGACAAAGTATCTCTATTCTCCCAGTCTAGTCTAACTACCAAAACAGTCCCCTCCACCCTCCCAGACTTATTCTATTTATAACCTCCTATCTTAACCGAAGGTAGTTAATAGCTAATAACAGAAAATAACTATCAACTAACTAGTCTCTATTTACTCCTTCTAGAATAGACTCGGCCATAGTATTTATCCTGTTTATTAAGTACAACTGTATCCCTATCAATACTCCCCTTCTGAAAACCCAACTTGTCCACAAGTTGGAATTCTGGGAAGTGTTCCTTAATCACTTGCTCCTTCTCCCAAGAATCTTCAAAATCAGGAAGGTCCTTCCAATGTACCGGGACTTCTTTTTCCCCAGCAATATTGATTCTGACATCTTTCACTTCCTCTGGTATTACCAGCAATTCACACTCTTCCCTAAGACATTTAGGGAGATCTTGGAAGGTAGTTGTAGGTGTCAGCACCTTTTTCAACAGGGATATATGAAAAACAGGATGTATCTGACTATCCACTGGTAATTTAAGCTTGTAGCCACATGATTTATCTTCTCTATGATCTCACAGGGACCATAGAACTTGGGGCTTAGCTTCTGATTTATCCTTTTTGCTAGGCTCTTCATCTTGTAAGGTTGTATCTTCAAGAACACCCTGTCACCAACATCCAGTTTTACTTCTCTTCTATGTTTGTCTGCTTGCTGCGTCATCTGATTCTGAGCCTTAGCTAGATTTTCTTTCAGCTCTTTAAGTATCTCATTCCTTTCAGCAGTTAATTTGGAGACTTCAGCCACTGAAGTCAGGCTGACATCCCCTCGGATAATTGTGAGGAGGCTCCTGTCCAAACAAGGCTTGGTATGGTGTCTTTTGTAGGGAGATGTGATAGTTGGTGTTGTACCAAAATTCTGCCCATGGTAACCATTTCACCCAATGTTTAGGTTTCCAGCCAGTCATACACCTCAAGTAGGTCTCCAAGCATATGT